CGCTTGTTTTCCCACCCACCCCCTTCTCAGACCTTCCCAAGTGGTTGAGGAATTTAAACTAGCGACCTTCGTTAAAGGTCCTTGGTTCTTTAATCATTAACTGCATATTTTGTTTTCGGAAAAGAGTGAAACTCAACATTACTTTCAGTTCTACAACACTTAGCTATAAGGATGATACCAACCTTCCTGTGTCAGTCCTAACTCCTCACCTTTGTCCTCTAACAGAGCCTTCATCAGAGCACGGTTTCCAGAAAACCTCAACGCTGAAAAGAAGGGTCGACCCACAACTGCAGGCAGCAAAATAAAGGTGTGTGTGTTCACCAGAGTGTGTGTGTACTGTATGTACCTGTCCCTCTTATTAATCATAATCGCTGGTGGGAAAAGCCTTTGAAAAGGTATCATGTGTATTTGGTGTCCTTCAGCAATTATTCAAAGCACTTTATGTTTTCATGACTTTGACATCAATACGGTTATTAACTTCCTTGATCTTTGCTCTTACTTATTTCTTTTTTTTAGAAACAAGCCAATGATTTGGTGAGCACACTGATGAAATGTACTCCACACTACATCCGCTGCATCAAACCAAATGAAACCAAGAAGCCCAGAGACTGGGAAGAGAGCCGGTAAGTGAAACACTCCCCGAATCTTCACAGCGCCTAATGCATCTTACCATCCAGTACCTGCAAGCCCTGTATTTCAATTGATAAACGCAGACCTAGGTCACTTACTATATTCTCACACATAAAGATAAACACTAGATCATTGCGATCCATTCTTCCTCCACCGGTTTGTGCTTTTTTGCTCTTTTTTGGATATTTCTGACGAGGTCATGTGAGACGTGTTTCAGGCATTCCCCTCTCCTTATCCCTTTGTCTCAGTTTCCCCGCTCTTTCTTCGCTGCCTACAGGCTTTTGGGACTACATGTTCAGATGCGGGGTGCTGCTGTATTGTTCCGAGCCGATGACCTTCCTGTTGTGAGTCAGGCGCAGGGTGGCTCATTAATTAGCGCCGGAAGTGCTGTTTTCACAGGAAGTCTGAGTGGACTAAGTAGTGCTGAAGGTCTTTGTTTGAGGGAAAAGTCAGTAAAAAGCAGCTGTTTTGAATACAATGAATTCTGGTCATCCCTTCCGCTAATGGAGCGGGAGATTCATGCCGTAGACCTGGTAGAAGATGCTTGATATTCAAATTTAAGCCAGTTGTGGAAATAAAATCAAAGTCTTCTAAAGTATTTTTGTTTCTAGATTTAAATGTATTATATTTTTAAAGCTGAAGTGCAGAACTTCTTTCTCCTCCCTCTGGCAGTGAGAATAATTTTGTATCAAACTTTCCACGGTTTGGCACTTTTTGCCCAGATATCCTTGTTCGTGCTCTCACACGTTATTCTTTTACTTTAATCTTGACTCTGAAAGCACAGTTTATTTTTTATCTTCAGCATCCACACCAGAAACGTTTCATACATACTGTATTTCTTAAGATTTAACGCCATGCTGCCGCTAGTTGACTTAAAAAGTGGCACCAGACATCCCAACTCGATACGCTGAATCAGCATTGTATGAACTAGTTTGGCAAGGGTGTGAATACAACGGGTGTATATATTTAAAACACTCCACCTTTAAATGCTTTATTCTCATCCTTCATAATTACATACAACACAAACATGTCACAATTTCAAAAGTAAATAACAAAACATTATAAAATTATGTTGGAAAGCAGGCAAGGAGAAAAACTAATGGTTAACTATCTGAATGTTATAAACGTCAATACCACCTTGAGCTGGCCCAGGGTCAGTTTTGTGAATATATTGCAGGTTTGACTCCAATCAAAGTTTAAACAAAAAGTTGGTTATCGTTTTTTTTCCATTTTTGTTTTGTTTTCATCTTATCCTAATGTTGATCCTTTTTTGTCTTCAGAGCAAAGCACCAAGTGGAGTACCTGGGTCTGAAAGAAAACATCAGGGTGAGGCGTGCTGGCTACGCCTACCGCAGAGTCTTCAAGAAGTTCCTCAACAGGTAACGACTCACTGTGAGGTCACACCTTTCTGTCATTTGGTTCTTAAAAAGGGGTGCGAGTGATGGGTATTCATGCTGATATTGTCTTTATTAAACAACAAGCTATTATGTAACATATGATCCACAATTTTTCTGTCAATTTCTTTACAACATGTTCATTAATTTAGTCATGATTGTAGTCCTTATGTAACCTGCCACACAGTGAGCTACACAGATTTGTAATGTTGTTAAAAAGGTTATCATAATGGAAAATAGCCTAAGTTTAGGAAATAGAATTCTGCAAATACATATTGTATACAACATTAACATTAAAGTTTTCAGCAACTGTAATGTAGACAACCCTCCATCTAAACCCACACTACAGCAAATGTAAAATACTTGATCTGCTTTTCTTCCTGGTCTTCAGGTACGCCATCCTGACAAAAGAGTCCTGGCCGACGTGGCAAGGAGACGAGAAACAAGGTGTCCTTCACGTCCTACGGTCTGTCAACATGGACCAGGATCAGTTCCAGCTTGGTCGCACCAAGGTCTTCATTAAGGCCCCCGAGTCGGTACGCTTTGCCTCCACTTCGCCTTCACATCCTGTTCTGTTGCTTAGTCTCTGCCCTTTTTAACACCACATCTTAGAACAAATATACAGGGAAATACACCACCTAGCAAATTACACCATCAGAATGTCTGCTGTCATGCAAAAAGGCCTTTTTGTTAGCAGGGAAAAAACAAAACAACCATTTTTAAACGAAACACCATAAAAGGGCACTCTTGTCCCAAATCATGCTCGAATCCCTGATGCAGGGGAGGAGATTGAACCCGACCCTTGTACCACGTCAGCACTGAGTCAACACCGCGCTGCAACCACAGCCTGTACTTGTGTTTTAGTTTCAGAGTTTGGGGGGGATATCGTAAAGGCTTGTCTTTTTCCACCATAACTACTTTTTTCATGATTCCTATGAAAGCAGCACTTGTGCAAAGCCTGTGCTCTCACTTTGGTACACAGTGTGCACGAAGGAGCATGCACTTGCACACACACACATGTATATTGAGGAGCTAATACACAGACATCTCAGTTTTAATTCAGGCCTTACAGCTGATTCCTCAATGCCTTTACTTATTCATTGCAGCGGGGCATGCCAAAAGTTCCCCATCCCCCACGCTGCTAGACTGAGAGTCCGAGTCATTGAGGTGTGCATGTGAAACGCAAATATCACACAGGGCGGACCGCTGAAAAGAGCTGCCAGGCTTCTCAAAACAAGCCTCTCTGTCTGATAAGACACTGACACCAGCTAATTAGTTGAATGACTGAAGCGTTTTTTCTCTCTAATGGATGTAATAAGTAAAGTTTGTTTGACGCCAAGCCAGATGTTGGATAAGAGCCCCCCCCGCCTCAAAGTGGTGATGGATGAGGGGGGGTGAATTAATTTAGTGAATGATTATAATGTATTTTGCCATTTACAACTCTGAGGTACCTTATTTGACATTTTATGCGTTTGTCAATCAGTGGATCATAAATTCTGGTATTTTGTTAAACATTTGATCTCCTGCTTCTCAAAATGTGAAGCAGCTTTTTCCAGTTTTGTCTCGTTAAGAATTCATACTTTTAGACAAAATAAATCATTTAAAGATTTTATTGATTGAATGGTCACATTTTATGTGCCCCTAATTAACCAGTATCAGCAGCATACAAACATTTATTATTGCCTCATAACACATTATAATTTAGTTTTAAGAACATTTATTTTCAAACCTTTTTTACATTTCCAGTATTTTTTTACATTTATGTCTTCTTTCATCATTAATCCTAATCTAGTTAAACTGCAGAATTTACCTAAGGGTGCCAATAGTAGGAGTTAGAAATATTGAACATATACAAATAAACACATTAAAGAACACTGTATTTGCTCTCAACTACATTAGCATATAGCTTTCAATAAATGACGGTATTGTGATTATAAATGAATGGCTCAAAAATAAAACTGTTGTAAATAACCGTAATTAATTTATAATAAAAACAATCACGCAGTTGACATTTTTGATAATAATCACCTTGCGATAACTCATCACCTAGAAATATCAACAAAATCCCTATCAGCTGTTTGATTTAGGATTTGTCACCTGGACAGCTGAATCTCTTCTCAGGTGTAAATCATTGAAGCCTCAGTAATACCTCAGTGTCATTGTCTCAGTCAAAGAGTACAACATTTAGTTTGTGGTTTGTTCCTGTCTCGCCTCACTGCGCCCCGCGGCCTCGATGCCAGCCTGTTGCAGCAGTGGGCAGTATGTTAGGATGTTTAGTCTGCAGGGAGCGGGCAGAGAGAGATTGCGTGTCTAAAAGCCCGTCAGGAAATGACATAAAGTGGTGAGACGGTGGTCTGTTGGCACAGCGTCAGCTCCTGCGCAGGAAGTGGTGAAATTACTTAAGAGCCCCAAAATCAAATAATATACTTGTAGGCTACTGGTAAGAGTTTTTCAGTCAGTTTTAAAATATTTGTATAATTCCTTCTGGCCTGTAAAATAAATCCCTTCCTAATGCAAAATAAGGTCGGAAACACACATTGGGTTGTACTTTGTTGTCTTCAGTTTTTCATAAAAGAGGTCTTCTGACAATGAAAAGCCATTAAAAGCTAAACGTTATCAGTGACAGCAGAGGTTTGTGTTTGTGCAGCTGTCCAGAGGCAGGTATGTTCAGTATGTGCGTGCCATCATTCCTTTTATTCAGTGTGTTTGGATTTGCCGTCAGGCCTCCAACCCTTAAGTATTCTTTACCTGAGGAACTAAAAACTAAAGTCCTCTCTCTCAAGACTCACCTTAACCGTTTGTCTTCATTATTTTATCCATTACTCTTTTTTTTGTTCATTAGTGTACACGATTTTACTTTAATTTTGTTGTTTTGTGTGTCATTTTTATTTGTTGTTTTTTTTGTGTGTGATTGCTCGCTTTCTTTCTTTTATTCGTTTGTGAAGCACTTTGTATAAGAGGTATTACAGAGTATAAATGATGTTTCTATTATGAATTATAATGTTGGCAGGTAATCATGTCTCTAATGTAATGTTTCCTTCTCTCTGTTTGATATACAGCTCTTTCTGCTGGAGGAGACAAGGGAGCGCAAGTTTGACGGCTACGCCAGGACCATCCAGAAAGCCTGGAGGAAGTACATGGCCCGCAAGAAGTACGTCCAGATGAGGGAAGAAGGTAAGTGGAGAAACATCTCACAGTTTTATCAGTGTCTCCAAGATCCTCTGTGTCCAAATCTCACTGTCTTTCTCCGGGTTTATCTAGCTTCTGACCTGCTGCTGAACCGGAAGGAGAGGCGGCGACACAGCCTCAACAGAAACTTTGTAGGCGACTACATCGGTATGGACGACAGGCCCGAACTCCGACAGTTCCTCGGCAAGAGAGAAAAGATCGACTTTGCAGACAAAGTCACAAAATATGACCGCCGCTTCAAGGTAAGTCCCCTTCAGTCTGCTGCTTGTTCCTGTTTATAAAACTGACCAAACATTTGTTGAGATTCTCTGTTTCTGCTTTTTTTTAGGGCATTAAGAGGGACTTGATCCTGACGCCAAAGTCTGTGTACCTGATTGGAAGAGAAAAAGTGAAACAGGGTCCAGAGAAAGGACAGGTGAAGGAGGTGATGAAGAGGAGGATTGATGTGGAGAAGATCCTGGCAGTGTCTCTCAGGTACATTCCCCTGAAAACTGGGTCAAACTGGGTTGTGATATGTTAAGTATTTTTTCTCCAGTGTCAGATATCATCTCCCTGGCTACAGTTGGAAAACAGGTTCTTCAAGCTTTTCACTTTCAGAAGTATTTATGCCTTGAAGTCGTTTTAATGAATGGCTCAAGCAGGCACTAAAGAAATGTTTACTCACAAGTTCCCAATACCAAACACAATCTGTAGACATAAACAGATTTGTTGCTCATTTTAGCTACGAAAGTCAACTTTAAGCACTACATCCTCACCAATTGTGATTTATGTGTAAATATCCATCCATTCATCCACCAATTTTCCACCGCTTATCCGGAGTGGCGTCGTGGTGGAGGCAGTTCCAGCAGAGGGCCCCAAACTTCCCTTTCCCTGACTGAGACTAATATTAAATCACCTTATTGTCATACACTTTCTTGTAACTGAGCCATTTGTAATTGGATTTCTTTGAATGTCTCTCCAACAGGGTTTAGATAAAAGTGAACTACATTCTCAAACTCAATCCTACTCTTACTCTGCTGTATACAGTGAAACTTGCCTATGCTTTTACTGTATACCTGCTGTCTTAATGCAAACAGTCCATGTGCATTATGGGTACTGATTATCAAACCAAAACATGCTACCATTCATTTTTAAACCCCTTGAGTGTTGTAACTTCATACACAGGGCACAGCATTAATACAAAAAGTGCTGAGAGCATGTTGAGAAAAAAGGTTACAGTACAGTACATGATACCAGTAGCTCATTAGTTGTTTCCAAAACAATGGCTTCCCATCATGCAGCAGGAGGGATGCAGGGCCCCGCCATGTAATCTGTACACATTGCGCTGCAGAAAGTCATGAATCTACTTCAAAGCCACAGTCTGGATTTCCAATCACACAAGTTCCCATGTTCCTGTAAATGTCACACATGGGACATTGAAAACATGTGGGGTCTATAAACCTGCCTCTTGTGTATATGTCTGTCTGTGTGTCCCTTTGTGTGCTGATTGATCAACCACATCTCAGAGATGTTACTGCAATGCATTCACAAACATTCTCATGAAGAATGTTGACTAGTGACTACAAGGAAAAGTAACAATAAAGGAATTGAGAGACCTGTGGGACCTTGTTGATGGGAATGCTGTATGACTAGTTTTAGAGGTATTTTAGAAATTGCAGAGATGTTGGTGCGAGCATGTGGCTTTTGAGTCAGTGGGGTAATGTGGACCAGGTGCTGAAATGAGCGAAAGCAGGAGCAGTAAAAAGGTCATCAGAGAAAAGCTCCTCCTCGCTGAGGGTAACAAAGTGTCCTTGTGTGGGTTACGGGCACAAGCTGTCTTCCCTCTTCAGATGTGAGACGCTTTGTGAGCTCCCTTTTGTTTCCATGCAAATGTGAAATATGAGTCTGACCCTCCATCTTAACCTCCATCAAAGCAGAACGGTTTAGGTGCTGAGTGTCTTTAAAATACTCAATAGAGGGAAGATCTCCCCCAGGTGTGTCTCCCTCTCCACTCCCAGACAAAGAAGAAAGTCAATTGTTCCTTCCTGCTCCAATGCAGTAAAGATAACAAAACAGGGATTTGTTTATCTCGTAGGGTGTATAATTGTAGTGGATGAAAACATATCGAGTATGGCTAATTACCAGATGCTCTTTTTCAAGATGTCAGTTTTTGAGTCAAGAGCCAACATCAGCCTTCAAAAGAGGCTTGTTTTTAGCCGAGCAGGCAGATTGACAGATGCACACACAGTCACAACCGTAAACATGATCTTGTAAAATCACGAGTTATATGATCTTTTTATGTCACAGCTGATACTATGATTTTAAGTTTTGTATTTAAATAACTGTGTTCATGTTTTTCAGCACAATGCAGGATGATTTCATTGTCCTGCACGAGCAGGAGTACGACAGCCTGCTGGACTGTGTCTTCAAGACCGAGTTCATCAGCTTACTGTCGCGCAGGTTTGAGGAGAAAACCCAGAGGAAGCTACCACTCAAGTTTAATAACACGTAAGTAAACACAAGCATTGATAAAATAAATGTCAACTAAAGAGGGATTCTAGGAACTGAATGGGACACATCTTCTTTGTGTTTGTTTATTCACACCTCTTGAGTCTGAGTTTAACTTAATTATTTAGACTTTAAATCAGACTAGTGCTGAATCTTACTTGTGAATAAGTCAGTGTGTCACTTAAATCTTGAACCAGGGTTAGACTCAAAACTCAGAAAATAAACTCTGACATTCAACACCCTTTCTGGGAGGTAAAAGTATTTTTATACAAATCTGTGGTGTGTCATCATCAATCAGTCATCCACTAGTAGTCTTTCTTTTATATATTGTATATATATTCTATCCTGATGTGCCTCAATGTTCAGAACAAGCCTGCATCAGAAAAGAATAATCACACAAACATTTTTAAGAATTTAAATAATGCAGTCACTGGAAATTGAAGGGAGGGCAATTGTAGCTTAAACTTTTCACAACTGTATTGTTTGTCCCTCAGACTGGAGATGAAGTTGAAGAAGGAGAACTGGGGCTTCCTGAGCGGGGGCGGCTCCCGGCAGGTCTTGTTTGTCGGGGGTCAGGGAGACATGCCTGTCCTGAATCCTTCCAGCAAATCTCTGCAGGTCAGCGTCGGCCCGGGACTTCCAAAGAACACACGTAAGTATTAGCAGACATGAAATACCTGATCTCACTATGAGCTGTGATATCCTTTACCTGAAGTGTGGACTAAGGTCACTCAATGAACTGGAGTCACGAACCTAACATGGTCAGAAAAACTAAACAAGATCTCTAACTCCAATGACTCATCCTTGGATATAAGCCCTAAAACCTCATACACTTGTGAGCAGTTGGTCTCGGCAAAGTGTTTGAGACATCCTAGTGTTTAGAATAAAAACCTAAAGAAGTATTCAACCTATATATTCAACCTTATTTTGATTAATGATTCTCATTACTCTTGGTACTATAAATCTGTAAATGTTCACATGGAAAAAGCATAACTTTACCTGTGAATTTTAAAACCATTTCAACACAGCCTTTTTTTTATCTCTCGTTCTTCATTTCTTTTGTCCTCAGGCCCCACCAGGAAGACCTTCTCTCAGGTCCGCTCCAGAGCTCACCAGCACACCCCCTCGAGGGCCGCACCGGGGCCTCCAGGTACACGTTCACAATAAACAGGTCACAGGGTTTGAACATTTTCCTCTTACACCCATGTGATCTCTAAAACAATCTCTTTTTTTGTAGTTGCTCAACAGAATGGTGGCCATAAAAACAGTAACCATGCAGCCAATCAGAGGAACTCGCAGCACCACGGCCAGCGGCATCCTGCGCCCGACAACCCAACACGACCCTTCCTGCCTAGCAACGGCAGCCAGCTGAAGGAGAGAGGAGGCAGCCAGCAGCCGCCCAACCTCGACTGTCTGAAAGTCCCCGATCAAGGAGCTGCAGGGTGAGGAACTCGCACCAACACAGTCAATTAAAACACATACAAGTACATACAGGAGTAGACGATATAAAAATCATAAAGGCAGATCACATGTCACGAACAAAGACTTGCCGGAGGAGTTATTAATTAATAATAATAATAGCTTGGATTTATATGGCGCCTTTCATGAGGCCCAAGGTCGCTTCAATTGATATCAGTCAACACTTCATACTGAATAGGTTCATCGTTATCCATTTTAGTTTTATCCTGGTAAATCGTTATTGTCTGTTTGGTGCACAGATTGTCCTCATTTCTCACTTTGCCATATTCAATAAAAGTTCACAGTTTTGTAAGAATCTGTCTGCAGGTAAATGGCTTCTTTGGAGATGTTTTTTAAAATTATTTTAAGAAAGATTCTTCCTATTTAACAGAATCACATGTTAGTGTCTTTGTTCACATCTTACTGCCTAGAAATAGAATATCTCAGTCACCATAAAAAAATAAATAAAAGGGTGTAATTGAGGTAATAAAATCCAGTTTTTCTGCACAATAACTGAGTTGCTTAGCTCTTAGATGTTGCAATTTAAACGTTGGCCTGAAAAGTGTTAATGAGTCTTTTCTATTTCCATTACCATGAATTTGACAAGTATGACTCACACATTTAAGTACTGAGACCCCTTTAACAGCTGACATATGCTACTAATTATTATTATTCAGTTTCATTGGACTTATGGCATTTAGTTCACACTTAAAGGCCTCTCCCATTATGTACCTACATTCCTGTTTCTGCTCTGTATAAATACATGTCTTCACACATTTAGGCAGTGTGATGCAATATCACATGCACACACACTTTTTATATGCCAAAGGTACCTTGGATACACACTCGTACCCCTTGTTCTTATTGAAAATTGCCATAATTTGGATGATTTATTCTTTTTTAGCAATGGAGACAGACGACCAACTTCCAATGGAGGAATGTGAGTTTAAGAGTTTGCAGTGTTTGGGTGGTGGTTTAGGACGAGACAAGCTCAGCAGCAGGACATGTTGATACTTCTCCTCTTGTACCTTTTGTCTTGTAACTGTGAAAAAGGAAAAGTTCAAACTCACCAAAGGAGCTGTAGTTTGCAACTAATATTTTTGTTTCTCTGCTGCTTCTGAATTTCATTGATGACAAATGGGTATTCTTAGCAAGTCATGTTAATATGATAGATCTTTCATTGTGCAATGAAAGATAATTCTTTTAATGAAGGAATCCCTGCTGTGCACCACTTATGATGCCCAATTTTAAATCAACGATCTCTTTTTATTAAAGAGATGAACAACACTTTTTGATGTACTGTTCCTTAAAGGGAAGCTTAAATATTTTACTCAGTAAATGCATATATTGCATTTGTATAAACTACCTTGCCACTTCATCTATTCTGAATGGTTTGATCCAGAGTTGGTTGTACAGTTGAGTTAATTTGGCATTGAGTTGAAAACTAATTTGAAAACAGAATATACAACCATGAATTAATAAAGCCAAGAAACAGAAAACACCAATTTAAACAACTCCTGACTTTGGATCAACTCTCTCTGCTCTTAAATGCTTCCTGAAACGTTTTTGTTTTGTTTTTCTTGGTTCATTGTAAAACCTAAAGTGTGTCCTCAATCACCATCTTGTGGCTGATTTGTGAACAGCAACAGCTTGTTATATTAAAGCAGGAAGTATTATCCACACTAACATATACAGTACTTGTCCAGAGAACATACAGCTAATGTCTCGTGACAATTAAATAACACCTTTGTTTTTAAGCTTGAACGCAATGTGGTTCTGACAGCCGTGCAAAAATCGAATTCGTATCTAAATGTTATACGTAACAAGATGGTGATTATGCAAACGTAGTATTTTTGAGAAGTCCTATAAGAGTGATATCTCATAAAACCAACTCACCTACAAACAGCTGCTTCTGACTGAGCTTCACAGCCTACAGCAGCACAGTCCTCTGAACACACTGTATCTCCCTCCTGCTGATGTTGACAGTCGTGTGGTTTCCCTCTTTTCTTTCTCATGATGTCTCAGGGCCCACAGACCCTCAGCCAGCAGGCCTGCTCCGGGGGGGGGGCGACCCAAACCTGCCCCCAAACCCAAACCGCAGGTGCCCCAGTGCAAAGCTCTGTACGCCTACGACGCTCAGGACACAGACGAGCTCAGCTTCAACGCTGACGACCTCATCGACATCATCAAAGAGGGTAAGATGGCTTAAACGTTTTGTGGAGATCTCAGTCAAATGTTTAAGATTCAAGTTGTATTGTCATATGCACAAAGCTATAGTGTAGAAATGGCAATGAAATTCTTCTGAACTGAGCTCTTCCAACAATGCAACATATATAATAAAATGCAAAAATAAAAAATAAAAAGTAGTGCAAAACGTCTATATACAATAGAATATAGGATGTGCACAAGAACAGAATATTAAATTAAATAATGTAAATGAAGACAAAATTAAATATGGTTGATTGCAGTGAAAATTGTTAGCCATATGGAAAACTAATGTATTCATCTTTGTTGTTTAGATGCTTCCGGGTGGTGGATAGGACGACTTCGTGGAAAGCAAGGTCTTTTCCCCAACAACTACGTCACAAAGGTCTAAGAGCTGCAGGTTTACAGCTCGAGGAGGAGAGTTTGTTCCCCGCTGACCCTCTCAGAGGACGGGACGGAGCTCACGGCCAGAGAGAGAAGCACTGCGAGACTCACTGAGGAGAAAAACGTCTTCCTCTGCTGCCTTCTCACAAATGAATGTAACTCCCGGTTACACCACCAGACCAAAAGACCAGCTTGAAATGAGACTCTGCTTTTAAAGACAAGAAGACTGTGTGGGGTCTGTTTTCCTCCACAGTCCCTCTGAGTACTGATCAAAACTATTTATTGTATTTATAGCTTTCTGTGTTCTCCTTACTGTCATTTATATCTTGCTGAGGATTTGAGCTCCAACTATTTTTGAAGCGTTGGATTGAAGTATGCTTAATCTGTGGGACCAGGCTGTAATTTTTACTCTCAGATGAAGGTTTGATTGCAGAGAGGTGATCGTCTCGGTGGCAAAACGGAAGCTACTGCTGCTTTACTAGGAATATTTATTTTGGTGCAAAACTGTAACTACTTACAGGGAACGGCTTTTCAGAAAATCATCACACTGTGTTTTTAATGATTTTTAATTCCAAAGCAATAACACTTTTTATGTTTTTCGTTCCGTAAATTCATTTAGAAGGCCATACCCCGGGAGAACCAGCTACATCTTACATTTTTAGTTGTTTTTTCTATTACACCAGTATATTTTAGACACAGTAGACCCCTGAGCATGCGGTCTGTGGTGTATTAGCACTTTATTGGTACAGGTACTACCTTGGACACAGACATCTTCACTTGTTTATGCCACAGCTGCAAAGTCTATGAAGGACGGGTTGCAAAGCGAGCAATAAGCAAGAATCATTTGTTTACATGAAATGATAAAAACAGGCATTTTGGATCTGATTCTGTATATGTGTTCATATTTTAGAAGTACGCCTGTTGTTGGTTAGATTTTAAATTAATTGTTTTGTATTTTCTCTGAAGGATCTTAGTATTCTGAATTTCCTCTGCTTTTGATACTCACAGGGCTGCTTTATTTACAGTTCAGCTTCACATAATGGTTATCACAAATAGGGTGAATGGATTTTTGTTTGTGCAAAAGGTTTTTTTAGGTGAAAGGAATGTGTTGACATTTTTCCGTGGCACTACAAAGAGTTCATTTTTGCTCTGCTTTACTGTTTCTGCACATCTTTGCACTGCTGTTGCATTACTTAAACATTCCTATGTATTTTTTTAATCAAATAACCACATTATGCTCTCGTCAGTAAAAAAAAACAAAAAAACAGCTGGGACTTCTGTTATAGATTTTATGCATCATGAAATATAGTTTGATCTGGGATGGTTGAAAACATCCTTGTGCAATACAAAACAGTAGATGCATTTTTTAATAAAGCATGTAATGTTGTATATTTAACTGCTTTGTTTTGTTTTATTATCAGAAATAAACATTGATCAACTGGATGTTTATGCTTATTATCATATTACTATACTCACCTGCCATCAGGACTGCAGGCCGAGGCTTTAAAATACTGAAATCTGTTGTTAAGGGTACTCACAGACCAGATCCCTCAAAACATCAGTTGTTTCGTGCCAAGCTTTTGCTAATCTGGTTTTATTTCCACATGTATTAGATTAATTTCATTGTTAAAATAATATATATATATAATATATAGTTTTGGTAAATGTCATTGTTAACGAGAAACAGTGCCAGAGTTTTCTTACATGATTGGTCAGAAACCTTTTTCAACCTTTTCAGGAATAAAATTCTGGTGTGAAAAAAAAATCACTAAAAGTACTGAATTGTGTTTTATTTATGATTAATTTCTAATTAATTTCCTTTTTTTATATTAAATGTAAAAACGACAATAATAATATCATAGACGTCACTAAACCCCCAATGAAAAATATGGCATCTTATTGACATTAAATACTTCTTAATGGAAGGCATTTTGATATTCCCAAGTGGTAAAAACAGGTAAACAGTAATCAACTGATTCGAAGGACACTGGCCTTTCATTGCTATAATTAAAATAATTTAACACCTGTGATATTTCTGATGAGAGAAGTCTGTCTGATGTTTGCATCTGTCTGCAGATCCATCTAAAGCAGTGGTTCCCAACCTGGGGGGCGCGCCCCCCTTGGGGGGGCACCAAAGATCGCAGGGGGGGCGCCAGGCCTCAGATGATTTGAGGCCAAATATCATATTTCGACTTTTTTTTTAACATATAATTGTAACGCAATACATGATTGTCACTAAAAGCCTTTGTCTCTACATTACAATAAAATATTCAAACAATCAACTATTTACGACTTTTGAATCCACATAAACACATCGGCAAAATCTTTGAGCATGTGTTTTAAACAGTTTAATCCCTTTGTGAATTGTTTCCACCCGTGGAGGTAAAAGGCCGTATTCCCTCCGCTCAGGGTGTGCACTGGCAACATTTGTCTAAATCCAGAGGGGTGTTCGATACACTTACCGATCCGGTTGTGTGTGTGTGTTTGTGTGTGTGTGTGGTGAGTGTGTGTGTGTGTGTTGTGGGTGTGTGGTGTGTGTGTGTGGCTCTGTCTGTGTTGTGTGTGGTGTGTGTGTGTGAGTGTGTGTGTGTGTGTGTGTGTGTGGTGTGTGTGCCTTTTCTCTGCTGTGTTGTGTGGTGTGTGTGTGTGTGTGTGTGGTGTCGTGTGTGGAGTGTGGTGTGTGTGTGTGTGTGTGTGTGTGTGTGTGTGGTGTGTCTCTGTCTGGTGTGTGTGTGTTGTCTCTGTCCTGTTGTGTGTGAGTGTGGTGGGTGTGTGTGTGTGTTTGTGGTGTGGTGTGTGTGTGGTGTGTTGTGTGTGTGTGTGTCTCTGTCTGTGTGTGTGTCGTGTGTGTGTGTGTGTGTGTGTGGTGTGTCTCTGTCTCTGTCCTGTGTGGTGTGTGTGGTGTGTGTGTGTGTGTATGTTGTGTGTGGTGGTTGGTGTGTGTCCTGTCTGGGTGTGTGTGTGTGTTGTGTGGTGTGATGTGAGTGTGTGTGTTGTGTTGTGTGTGTGTGTGTCCTTTCTCTGTCTGTGTGGTGTGTGTGTGTGTGTGTGTGAGTGTGTGTGTGTGTGTGTGTGTGTGTTGTGTTGTGTGTGTCTCTGTCTGTGTGTGTGTGTGTGTGCTCTGTCTTGTGGTGAGTGTGTGTGTGGGTGTGTAGTGGTGTGTGTTGTTGTGTGTGTGTGTGTGTGTGTGTGTGTGTGGTGTGTGTGGTGTGTGTGTGTAGTGTGTGTGGTGTTGTGTGTGTGGTGTGTGTGTGTTGGTGTGTGTGTGTGTGTCCTGGTCTCCTTTGTGTGGTGTGTGTGTGTGTGTGTGTGTATGTGTGTGTGTGTGGTGTGTGTGTGTGTGGTAATGTGTGTGGTGTGTGTGTGTGTGGGTGTGTGTGTGTTGTGTGTGTCCTGTCCTGTCTGTGTGTGTGTGTGTGTGTGTGTGTGTATGTGTGTTGTATGTGTATGTGGTGGTGTGTGTGTGGTGTTGTGTGGTGTGGGTGTGTGTGTGTGTGGTGTGTATGGGTGGTGTGTGTGTGTGTGTGTGTGTGTGTGTGTGTCTCTGTCTCTGTCTGGTGTGTGGTGTGTGTGTGGGTGTGTGGTGTGTATGGTTGTGTATGTGTGTGTGTGTGTTGTGTGTGTGTGGTGTGTAGTGTGTGTGGTGTGTTTGTGTGTGTGTGTGTTTGTGTGTGTGTGTGTGTGTGGGTGTGGGTGTGTAAATAATACTGATGGTTTATAAGGGGTACAAAAAATTGGAAAATTTACCAAACAAATAAAGAAGTCAAGCGGTAGCAGAGTTTGAGGCTTCATAGCCACTGGCTTAGAGCTTTGGGTGCAGCCCACAAAGCGAAGTCCGAACCCTTCTCTTTAGAACTGTTGCGTCCTGGTCGCTTGGGTTTGGGAAGTGGATGGTGGGGGTCTAGTCATCCAGTGGTAGTATGTTATTGTCTTAATGTTTTATTACAATTATCTATTATTAAATTTTGTGTATATATCATGTTTTGGTTATTATTATTGTTGATGAGTGGACGGAGAGCACAGACCACAAAAGGTCTATTTCTCCTTCACGTACTCTTCTCTGTCCTTTGCCAACGGTTGAAGGTGCTAGAGTCACGCCCTCCTCAGACGAATGGTCTCTCCTTGTCCTCCTCCTCCTCTTTGCCTCTCCTTGTCTCTCCTTGTCTCCTCAGTTAATACCTCGGCCGTTATAAAATGTTTTATTCACACTTACGATGTTTTTTTCTAGAGTTATATTTCAACGGGTTTAATAAACTCTAAAGTTCAAAAAAGTTTGAAAAAACCCGCTTTTTTTTTTTGTAACTACCTATTTTTGATCTCTTTGAAGTTATATTTTTTTGTAATCGATAAAAAACGTCTGAGCGACGAAACTCCCTAGACTAACGGGTGAGCGGGAGGTGTGAGCAACGCAAATCCTTGTCCCGGAATTACACCGCCTGGGAGGCACGCTTGCGCGTTTGCCTCATACACATCCCCAATCACACATCCCCACCCACCACCAATCACACAATACGACTCACACATCCCCACCACACATCCCCCATCCACAGAAATCCCCCATCACACATCCCCCATCCACACATCCCATCACCACATCCCGCAAATCACACATCCCCACACACAATCACATCACCATCGACAATCACACGAAATCCCATCACACTCCGACTCACGACATATACACATCCAATCACACATCCAATCACACATCCCCCGCCAAACCTTAACCCGGAGTTAAAGAACTACATTTAGACACTCGACGTAGATTGGAACAGGGTTGGAAATTCTCGGGGGGCGTTTACCTGGGGACAACCTTCAAGGCGGCGGCCGGGGCGGGTGTGTGTGTTGCCCACCGCCCCGGCGGGCTTTGTCGGCCATCAATTTCAAAGAGTTTCAGAGTTTTACGATGTTATGACAGTGTTTGAGCCTACTTACACTTCACGAAACAATTTCCTCCCACTTTCGCATTGATTCCTCGAGAATATCCTCACTGAAACTACAAATACCCCCTGATGTCCTACTTAAAGTAAACACTAAGGCGACATACTTTAATTTCCTGCC